CTTCTGAATTTGGGCCAGCCTAATTAAAAAAAAAAGCCCAAAACATAATTCAGGATCACAGGCACAACCAGAGCCAGCAGGGGCGAAGTGAGAACTGGCATCAATCTGCAACTCCTCCATCTAGGGGTGGGCATGGGTTGGGTTGTGTCGATTTTTTCCCCAACTCAACATGGTCGGTTTTATTTAAGGAAAAATAACGCAAAACCATACTTATAAACTTTACATTTCAAAACTAGGGTGATTAGGTTTAATCTTCTAAAATCAGGTGTTAAATATTTATTTTAAAATTAATAATAATTATAAACTAATTGTTCATTTACGTGATGAAATAACCCTCTATTTCTGAATTACACAGTTTTCATAATATTTCTGCACGTAATCACTGATCATCCAAACCACGTCCTTCGCGTTTTACCATAAACCCCCCTCTCTCTCTCTCTCTACAGTGCAGTGCAGAAAGAAACCACGTTTTTCTCTCTCTTCTTCTCTCTACCAGAAATACAGCAACGACGTTGCTCTCTCTCTCTCTCTCTCTTCTCTTCTCTCTCTCTAATACAGTAAAGTAACCTCCCACTCCGTTTCTCCACTACTGCGAACCGCACAATAGTTTATTAAATTTTAGTTTCAACAATAGTTGTGTTTAGAATGGCAAAAACTCGAAGTGTTGGTGCGAAAATGATGGAGAAGGATAAAGGAAAGAGGAAATATGTTGAAAGAGATTCTTCTTCAGCAAAGAGAGTTAAAATGTCATCCTCTGGCGGGAAACCCATGAAGAAGGTGAACTCCGATTTTGTGACCTATTATTTGAGTAGTTTGTGACCTGATTTGGGTATTCTGCGTAGGAAATATAATTTTATGTTCTGTTTTAGGTATTTTGTAATTTGAAGGTTTTGTGACTTATTTTATGTATTGCGTGATTGTGACTTTCTACTTGTTTGTGTTGAAGGTCAGAGTAACATTTTTTATTTTACCATTGTGCAGGACTGGAAATACTTAATAAAATCAAGGAATTGGTTTTCTGGAAAAATCACCACAACGCAAATACAGAGTGTGATTACGCACTTTGTGATGAAATTTAAGGCTGCGCAGAGGGCAATTCTAGAAAACACATGTTTCTCCTACTACATGCATTGTAGGGAGATAGTTGTGCAGCCACAATTGATTCACCAAGTTTTACTACGGGAGGTCAAGCAACCGAACAAGCAAGAGATGTGGTTTAATGTAAATGGGAGATATATTCGTTTTTCAATTGCTGAATTTTGTTTGGTTACGGGATTGAGGTATGATGGGGTCGATGGTCGACCAATGTTAGATGAAAAACCGTCTTCAGTGAAGGACACATATTTTAAGGACTTAAAAGCTGTTACAAGTGAAGATGTCAAGAGGGTTTTTATTTCACTTGATGATGCACCAGACCTTGACGTTGTTAAGATTGGAATTATCTATCTCATCACCTCATACTTATTTGCTACATCCTACCCGAAGGTGGTGGATCAATACATATTTGCACTTGTAGACGATTTTGCCACTCTTGAAACATTTCCTTGGGGTAGATATTTGTTTGAGACCACCTTATTGTCGCTAAAAAAGGGACTATCAAAACAAACTAGTCACTATAGATTGACAGGTTTTTTAGTGGCTTTCCAGGTGTGGTTATATGAGTGCATACCTGCACTTGAGGGAAATGTGGCCACAAGAATTTATAAGAAATATCCACGCATTATTAATTGGACTGCGCACAAACATCCTTCAGTGTCAATGTTGGAGGACAAAATATTTGGAAATGAGAATGTAAGGTTTTAAATACATTTAAATTGTTATGTAATCATTTGGTTGATTATATAATTTTTGAAATGGCATATGATCAATATTTTTTCATCTTATGTGAAACAGGTTGTGATAAATGACATAGATCCATCTAAAGTTGAACTCACAATGCCATATATGACAGGTTTTAAATATGAACTTCACATTTATTATGATACGAAATATGATTTGTGACCTGAAGTATGAATATCCTGTTTGTAAAGTGACATATGTTTTATGACTGTGACCTGAAACATGTAACTTGTGACCTGTGACTCTCTTTGTCCTTATGTATGTTGTGGCTTGTGCCTTGTGACTTAGTTTGCTCTTATGCGACTTGTGACTTGTGAATGTGATCGGAAACGTGTGATATGTGACTTTCTTCATACGATTGTGAACTGAAGTATGAATATCCTGTTTTGTAAAGTCACATGTCTCTTAAGCTTGTGACGTGAAACATGTGACTTGTTTCTTGTGACTTTCTTCATTCTTATATATGTTGTGTACGATCGGTAGATGTGCAGTACTTAAAGCCTAGACAACCAACTCGGAATGTTAGGATCTCTGAAAATCAACTGGGCACAAGTGAGGCAACTCCCCTACTGTCGAAGGTAGATGTTGAAGATTCAGATTTTGTAGGCCCATCACTATATAAACAAACGGGGGCTGCTGGCTCTAGCTCTCGCGATCAGCAAAGTGCTGCCTCACATCCAGATTGCTCATGTGTTGAGGTAAGTAATATCATTGTCTTTTCACTTCAGAACACATTTTATATACAATTTCACTAACTACAAAATTTATCAGGAATGTGGTCGACTGAAGCAGTTGATTGAAAAGGAAGTAACCAAGCTCCAAGCGGAGAACAAGGGGTTGAAAGAGGAGCTTATGTCGATGAAGTCAGAACTCTCTAAGATGAATGTAAACATGCGTAAACTCTCTAAGATGAATGTAAAGATGCGTCAATCAAACAATTCTTTGAAGCTTAATGAGGTCATTCAGAGTCACAATGTGTTGAAAGATAGCTTGAGTGACATCAGGTTGTCTCTTAAAAATTTTGTTGAATCTGTTTCTGACATTTTATCTTCGGTGATGGATGAACTTCATAAGAAGTTGAGTGGTAAAGATGTTTTGAAGGAACAAGTGTCAAAAGATGATGATGATGTTGACAAAAAGGGCAAGGGTCACATGGAACCTGAGCCAAAAGGTGATGATATTGTTGAAAAAAGTGACAATGTTCACATAGAACCCAAGCAAAAAGGTGATGATGTGGCTGAAAAAGTGGACAAGGGTCACATGACACCTGAGTTTTCACATGTTCATGATGACTATGTTCTTGAATCTCCTTCATTTGATCTAGGAGTTTGCTCCTCACAGACACCTAAAAGCTCTGAAGAAGTGCAGGATCAGGTTGATGAGGCTATTGCACGTGTGTTGGAGTCTACTGAACTTCATTGTAAAGATGTCAGTTTAATGAAACATTTAGTGTTTTAATATTATAAATTCAGATTTATTGTCATACACTAATTTAAGAAACGTTGTTTTTATGTTTTTT